TCGGCGAGGAGGGCAATGTTACGGCGACTTGTCCAAATCAAGTCGCTGTAATGTGAAACTGCCCTGTTGTGAGCAACTCCTTAAAGAAAAATAGAAGAGAGGGGTTGCCACGGAGGTGTTTTATCAACGGACAATCGGAGAGTCGGGATCAGACCGTCGAGCGATCAACACCATCTTAATCAAAGATCTCTAATATAGTTTAATTCAGTTGTATTATAGTTTGTGTGTGTTCTCTATTGTAAATAAAATGCCGCGACGCGGGAGAAGTGTCGCAATTCGTAACAATATATATATTCTATTATATAATTATATAATATTATAAATAATTATATAATAGAATAATAATAATAGAATAATAGAATATAGAATATATATACATATATTCTTAATGGACAAATAAAGAGGTATGAAATAAACCAAATGGAAGCCAGCAAAAATTGAACAAAACTTTCCTAAACAACAGTCGAAAGTGTCCAAAGCTATATTTCGTAAAACATTCTACGAGCTTGGCAAGCAATCTTTCCGGAAGAGAAAGCACAAAAGTTACATAGTTATTTTGTTGACGAACTTCGTTCGTTCTTCGCGCGAACATTTTCATCCATTCTCGACTTTCCCCGTTGGCTACAAGCGAAATTGAATTTTGAAAATTTAATTTAATTTAATTTCAAGCAGTGCTCCGCGCGAATTTTTGCTATCATAACCGGCGGAAACGTTTTCGCTTGATATACGAGCACTTTGCTCGGTTAACAAAACTATTTCTAACTAATTATTAACGAAGATTAAGACAGCTTTTGGAACGACGAGGCGCAATTATAAAAGACAGGTGACGCTAATTTGTAAAACGAACGGTCAAATTGTTCGTCCGCGAAACCGTAATTGCTTTCCCATCAAACTGATATATTATTCATAAACTCTCTCGAAATAAGCGACGATATTAATACGAAATAAGAATGTTTAATAATTCAGTGAACGTGGATGACTACGAGTTTTCCGAGTGTTATCGATTTTCTTTCAAAACTGATGTACGATCATAAATAAATTATGTCACGAATGTTTATCGCGATGATAACAATCATATTTTAACTCGCATTGTATTATCAATAGATCCGTGATTTTACATAGTTATTCAATGAATGAATGATTAATAATTAACGCTAGACTTGCCGATGTGTTTTGATTTACGACGGCGACACGAGTTTATTTATTTAGACCATCCGTTATTTTGAGTCATTTATTCAGCGATTATTAGACTGCGCGATTTTATGTATTTGTGTTAAAATTTCCTAGGTGAAATTAGCGTATCTGCCTTCGTTCTGCTGATTTACTATACCGATACACTATCGATTTTTCTTTTTCTTAGAAAAATATTACTGAAAACATGTGACCTAATTGCAAATGTATTTATATATACATATATAATAAAAATAATATAAATAATAATAGTATAATAATAATAAAATATAGCATAAAAATAATAGTATAAATAATAGTATAAATAATAGTATAGATATAATAGTATATATAATAATAATATAGTATAATAATATAATAATATTACTATTATTATATTATAATATATTATAATAATATAATAATATAGTATAAATATAATAGTATAGTATAAAAATATAGTATAAAATAATAATAAAATATATATTTTTTTTATTTTATATTATTATTTTTATTATTATTATTATTTTATATTTTACATTATTTTATTTATATATATATTTTTATTAATATATATAATAAAAAATGTATATATAATAAACCAGGCAAAAAATTGATTCTTCGATACAGAAATAAAGAAATTATGTTTCGGGTGTAATATGACCCGGCCCTGGTCCGACCGCTAATCTTTTGGTCGCCCTACGGTCGAAGACCCGTAAAACTGATTCAACAAATCCTGTAACTGTCCGCGCGGGTTCCCACCGGCAACACCTAAACACTTTCGCCGGCAGCGTGAAGCACGTGCGGGCGACCTGGTCATCCGGATAAACAAGGTCAAATTTACTCTGCGCACGTTGTTATTTACGTTCATAACTGCGGGTGTCCACGCGAGCGCGTAACCATTTAACACCTTGACACACGAATAAAACGGAATTCGATGCGACCGAAAAATACTATTCACATCATTTGGCTCGACCGAGCAGTTATGTGCAAGCTGAGAAAGAGAATGTTTTATTTTGAAATTTGGTTTACTGGATTACTGTGGACGCGACTTTGTTATTGGCACCGTAGAGAAGGTAGGTGGGTGGGGCATCTCGAATATTGTAAACAAACCAGAATCGGCGCACGAGTGAAGCAACTGAGTAATCTAATAATATAGGGTAAATGTGGGTATATTGCTGTGGTTTTTCAACGAAGGCGAACGTTGACAGAGAAAATAAGACCTTTGCGCCAATAAATTGACAGTTTGAGCTATACCTGTTATTCTTCAACTTGATTATTTACTTTAATGAATATTACTTTGATGAATATTTACTTGAATATTATATATATATTATATATATAATAATATAATAATATATAATAAATATAATATAATATATTAATAATTTACTTAATATAATTTAATTATTAATAATATATTAATATTATTAATACATTATAGTAATTTAATTATTACAGTAATATCATTAATATATAAGAAGTTATGTTTATATAACATTATAAATAATTTAATTAATGAAATATTCACTACAAAATATTGGGATCCCTAAAAGCAGAAATTTCATTAAAAAGCGTAACGTAAAGAAACCATACGTGCGCATATATTATTACAATTATGTATCTATTATAGTATTACAGCGAACCAAATACATACTGCGGACGATCCGATCGCGTGTCAAAAACTTGCGAACGTTCCGATTAGTACGTGTCAAATACTGTGGACTTACCAATTACTGCGTTATTCTGGAATGCTATATTTCCGTGATATTTGTACGATAGAGTTTCCTCCACGAATTTCTTGCAAGGCAAACACCACGTTCTCTTTAGAGCAGCATAACCTTACATTTTTCTTTTTCTTCGTATCGTTCGACACTTTTTGTTCTCTTTCGTTCGACTTCTTCCTTTGCACTTTTCCCATTTTCTTTTAAATATACACACGCAACCACGATTCTTAAGATCAAGATATTCTCACTGTAGCACTTTACAAATTAGGTACAGGTACTCCGCGATCGAGCGTGTTCGCGCCGACACCGCGAGAACTGCGCTGGCTAGGTTAAGGTACATAGTTCGGTAAAGCGCCGCAATGATGTACACACATGGTAGAAAACTATGCGCAAAATACCGTGTTAGTAAATAATATCTGAGGATAAACGATAGCGACAGTGTACGTCGATTTTTTATCAAAGCAATGATCGCTTTATAAATAATATATATAATATAATAATATAATATATAATAATAATATAATTATATATATATAATATAATAATATAAATAATAACGCTAAAGTACTGAAATAAAACACTTAACCAATTAGCTGTGTTCGACGAGTATACGCGTCACGGAGAAATGGCAATATTTTGTGATACGACGAGTATACTCGTCGCGCGTAAGAAGTAGCGACCATTGGCTATTTAAATTGTAATTTTAAGGAAAACAAAAACATATTCTCAAAATTTCAAGACGTTCAGAATATTTTGAGGCCGATCCTGCACGAAGTTGTTTACATTGTTATAAAAATAAAATTAAAAAAGAATCACGGTATCGGTGTTCGACGTGCAAAGTGCCATTATATATTGTTCCTCGCTTTGCTAAATACCACTCTCTCTACAGCAGCAATTTGAACTTTTAACTTTTATAAGTATTCGATTATCCCTGGGTTTTTCGTTTATTATGTATACGGTATATGTTAACGTCAAGCGAATAAGTAAATATTAGTAATAAAATTGTTAATTTTATCGAATAAAACCGTCTTTTCGATCCGATATTTTAACAGCGACAATTACATTGTGTTCGACGAATATACTCGTCGTCGCTCGATTCTCGCGACACATATAGGTGCGCGCTCTGAAATGGAGGCGCAACAGCTAACCGGTTAAATAATGCTAAAATGAATAGTTCATTATCAACTACCAAAACATAAGTGCCTTTCGAATCAGCGTTCGCAGCTGCCATTTTTGAGTATTTCATAAGACTCGACACGTTTCCATAAGCTTCCGAATATCAAAAATCAAAACGAATAAATTGAAACTGCGATCGCTGTTACTTGTATGTCATAAATTATCAATGTTAAACATACAAAGTATTGTGATATTCATTTTTAAAATATTACTCATTATAAAATATCAGATTTCATTACTTTCATAAAATACCGCGGTATTTGGAGCGTCCGCAGTAATACCAACACGGCGTCCGCCGAAAACGGCTCCCGACGACTTAGGCTCGTCAAAGTCTACGGAGTGACGCGTGAAACGAACGACGACCCGAACTCGTTATCGCGCGTGAAGGGGTTAAAGCCGAATCTGCAGGGATTAAAATCGGCGTCTAAATTCGCCCGTGTTCGCTGAAGATTCCTGCGTATCTTTTCCCGAATGTAAAGCTAATTAAACCGTACCGTGGGGTTTCGCCGCGATAACGCTATAACAACGCTTTCCTCTGACGGAATTCCACGTTCCAGAAGAACAACAACTAGATTTCCGGGGATATCGTGTCCCGGCGGGCCGACAGCGAAGCAAAATAGCGGTAGCGACCGTGTTTAATTTTGAACGAGCCTGTAGCGCGAATCTCCGCTCCGCGTCTGGGAGCGCACGGGCCGGAGGAAAAGCTTGCTGTCAAGGTGGAAATAACGAAAACACGGAACGAGGAGAAATGAAAGGAGCCAGGCTGCCGCTCCTGTGTGTGTGCACGCGTCCATGTGCGCACGCACGCGTCTATGTGTGTTTGCCTGCGAGAGAACGTGCAAAGCCGTGGAAAGGATACATGCAGGTGCTATATACCTATACATATATACATATGTGTACGCGCGTATGTACGGCGGAGAGACTTACTTGTTTTCTTTGAAGAAAAAACGACGAAGGAAAACGAGGAGGAAAAACAGGGCCGACGGTCTTGCTTATTGCGGTCGTCTGGTATTCAACGGCGGCCTAATAATAGGAGGCCGTTTTCGTGGAAGGAAGCGAGGGAAGTCGTTGCTCCGAATTATTCCGCGGGCCCAGACCTGCAACAAGCCGCATAAAACGAAATTAATGCGGCAATAATCGTTCCGGGGGGCGCAAGCGTAATTCGCTAAGCCGGCCTCCTCCCGCGAGGCCAGTTTAATTCTGCAATAATTGTCCTACAAGCCGACTAATCACCGCGATATTGCCGCGAACGCGACGGCCCACGCGCCTTTCGGCCATTCGCCGCGGGATCCGCCGAATCTCGTCGCCTCCGTTTCCGCAATATCAATTTCTTGCGAACGATTCGTTGTCCCATAAACGGCTCGCTTTCAGCGCCGGATACTGCGCGAGGCGTCGCGCGTCGCGCGTTGCGCGCCGGGGCTAAATGAAAATGTCGTGCCAAAATCGAAGAACTTTTAAATTGGAACGAGAGAACACGCAGCGACTCGTACAATTTGTTCCGCGTTAAAGCTGAAACGCTCCGGAACAACGGAAAAATAGAGAGAATGTATTGTATCGTCGCGAAAGTAATTTCGGTTTTCCGAACGGGACGACTTTACGGAAAAACCGGAATTGCTTTCGCGACGATTCAATGGCGCGAGCATTTTTCAACCTTGAAGATTTTTACGTTGAACTCGCGTGGCGCGTTCCAACGAAATTGGGATTTATCCGATGCCACGTACATTTGGATTTTTTAAACGACACGTTGTATAGACATCGTTTCCCGTAGATTTTAACCCCTTAGCGCTCCGCGCGAGCGGAGCGCCCGAGATAAAGGAAGTCTTATTTCGAGCGGAAAAGATTACACGTCCTTGCGAATGCATTTGGTTTTATTTATTTTATAAATGTACATTTTCCTATTGTAAATAAAAGATAAATTTTAAATTTTGTAATTCAACATGGAGCGATATCTTTGGTAACAATCTCCCATGCGCGTTCTGGGTTTACTTGGACAAGTGTCACAGTATTCGCTTTGCCAAATAGAGTTACCAGATATTTCTTTCAAGTTTAGAACATTTTCTGCGTAGTGAAGAGAATAAACTTTGAAGTAACCCTTTACCAGACATAGCTTAAGAAACGTGTTACATAGATGCACGGGCGTAGTAAACCTTGGTATAGAATAAAAATTTGTATCGCGTCATCGAAAATATTGATTTTCTTTCTTTATAATTTTGTACGTTTCCATTTATATTTCATTGGATCTTCGTTCGTTCAGCATTTTCTGTAGCTTCGCCACAAGCTTTACAGAAAATATCGCGAATTCAGTGTCGAGAAAGTGAAACAATATTTGCGGTATTTTAAGAAATTACATTTAAACCCTTGACATACCATTTTCCTCGCAGTCACTGCGATTAGAAATTTTTCGATTCCAATCGTTTCTTAGAAGGGGAAGAAACATTGATGCTTATAGTGCGTCCAAACTTACTCGGATGCTTAAATATTGATCACAAGGGATTAGAATTCTATTCCACTTTTAAAGGACAGAATAATAATTTATGCTCAATCGGTTATTACTAGAAATTTTTACGAGTCGGACTCGTCAAAGTAGGGGTTAAGAACTTCCGTCTTTTACATGTTTAATTTTAACAAATGGATTACTAATTGAATTTGAATAAAGCAATTCGACGTATCTTATACGATAAATATAAAGTGAATTACGCTAAAAGGTATTCCATCTGGAATATGTAATTCTTTCGTAACATCGCGCCATTCGTCAAAGTCTTGCAACGAATCTTCGCTTTCGCTTTCAATAATTCTCATTCTTCGTCTCTTTGGTAGCATAATTTCGCTACTACTACTCGAAGTGTCAGAATCATAACCAACATTGTCTTCCACAATGTCTTTTAACTCTTCAAAATCAAATACGTCTTCGGTATCGCTCGGCTCTAAATTCTCATCGTAATATTTATTTTTCTCCATGTCGCTGACCATAGAAAAGCTCAAAAAATGGTTTAATCGTAATGGTACAGACTTAGCACGTTTTAACTACAGATAACAATTGCTAACGCCGACGATAACGTATGCTAAAAACATTTCGCTCCGTAGCGGAGCCTTCGGAATTACGGAACAAATGACAAATGTCTCCGTAGCGGAGCCTTCGGAGCGCTAAGGGTTAATAAGACGAATTCGGTCGCAAAAATTGGTCAGGATTTTGAGAAGAGATCGAGACTCGAGCGACGAAGCCGATGAAATCGTGATTTTTGTTTTGTGTTTAGAAAAAACGTACCGAAGGAAATTTCGTCCTAAAAGCACGCGCCGTCATTTGATTTATTTACGCAAACGAAGCCGAATAAACCGGACGGCGCAATGAAATTCGGGAGAATCGAATACAATATATTCGCTGCACGTAACAAGGCGCGAGTCGCCGTCGGAAAATTATTTTTTCGCCCGGTTTTAATCGCGAAACGAACGGTTGGAAGCGAACAATTTTTCGGTCATAGCGTTCCCGTGAAAAGGGAGAAGAAGAGGGGAAAAAAATAAATGGCACAAAAGATTCAAACGTTCGAAAAGTTTCGTATAATCGATTTACCGATTCTCCGACGTCTTTGTCGGCGCTCGTTGGCCCGGAAAGCCGCAGAAAAAGAAGAGAGCTAACGATTTCATTTTAATTGGAGCCCCATCGACACATGAGCCGAGAGAGAGAGAGAGAGAGAGAGAGAGAGAGAGCCGGCTGAAATTGTTAACCGGCCGGTCGAGCAGATTACCGAGTGTCGCATAAATCGTAACCATCCGAGGGAAAACAAACGCGGCCGGGCAAGCAATCGGGAATACAAATGAATTCCCGGGGCAAGAGGTAGCCTCCCCGGCCGCGCGGAAAAGGAGAATCGAAGAGGGACGGAATAATCTCCGTGATTCGAAACTATTTCCATTTCCTTAACTATTCGCCCCGGAGGGTCGGCACCCGGCGAATTTTCGGGCGACGTTTATGAATGGCCCTCGCGGAGGGACAATCGTCGAATCGATCGGGACCGCCCGTGAACCGTGAATTCGTGACCTTTGGCCGCGGGGGCAAAATTGAAAGTTTCCAGGGCCGGGTATCGGCCGGGGCATGTAACGATTAATGAAATTAGTCGTAAACAGCGCGGGCGTAGCTGCAAGAATGAATTATATCCGGCGCACCGTATCCAATTACGTTACATCGGGGGGCCATTATTGCCGCGGCGCGTCCCGTCCCCGGAGAACCGGAAGTCCCCGTTCCACCTACAGGAATCCAGATAATTATTCCCTCTATTAAACTTTTATCCGGAATTTGCGGAAGGTGGATATCCCCGATATCCCGGGACCTCCTCGATCTCCGAGCCGGGCTGCGAACAATCGCCGGACCGAACACGCAACACCCGCATTATGCATTCGCCAGATAAAATCTCATCCAGGCTAACGTCTTTCGCAAATTGTATTCCTCGTTTTCATCCGCGTTCGCCGACGCAGCGCCGAGATGCCGCCGCCGTCGCGGATCCAGAGATCCTTTAACGCGTTCATCGCCGCGTCGCGACTAAAAATCTCGCGATTTCGAAATTGTTTAATCAAAGAAACTGAAATTCTCCTAATGAGAAATCTTAACGATCGAATTCCTAGTGGAATTTAGATTGCTCGAATATGTTCGGATACAAATTAGCTTCTAATTGGAACGAAGAATAGACGGTCAATGTCCGTTAATTGATGCGCCTGCGAGCGGATTGTTTCTGTGAGAACTGCAAATACAGAGTGTTCTAAAAATGCCTCGAAATTCGGTAATGGGATTCCCGAGGTCATTTGAAGCAACTTTTTCCTTTGCGAAAATGCGATCTTCCGTTTCGTTTAGGAGTTATTAAGGAAAAACTGTGACCAATGAGAGGTGAGATATCGACTGCCGCGCGACGGCCGAGCCATTCGGCGGAACTGGGCTTCGGCCGCTCGTTGGCTCGACCGTCTCGCGCCGCCAGTCGAGCTCGCCTGTCATTGGTCACCGTTTTTCGTTAATAACTCGTAAACGAAGCCGCGGATTGAATTTTCGCTAAGGAAAAAGTTGCTTCAATTGATCTCAGGAACCCCCCATTTCCGGATTGTGAGAATCAGAGGCGAGCTCGGCCCGCGAGGCGGCCCAATTCCGCTCATTGTCTCGGCCGCCACGCGCCAACTGATCTCGCCCTCTCATTGGTCACCGTTTTTCGTTAATAACTCGTAAACGAAGCCGCGGATCGCATTTTCGCTAAGGAAAAAGTTGCTTCAAATTGCCCCAGGAGCCCCCATTTCCGGATTGCGAGACATTTTTGGAACATCCTGTATATTTCGACGAAAAAGCGTACGTAAAAATTTCTCCTAGGAATATTTTTATAATGTCGGAAATTTCTAAAAGAAAAAGTTAATAATAATCTGGGACACTCTGTAGATCAGTTCGGTACGAACTGCAACCAGATATCGGTTCGGCAAACACTGCAACCAGATATCGGTGCGGCAATCACTGCGTCTTTTTTAACAAAAATTCCAGCTAGATCATTTCACAGCAAGAACTGCAACCGGATCGTTTTAGCACGAACGATGAATAAACGAGGAGGAAGTGAAACATATCTTCGCGACGGGACGTCTTTAAAGATTTTACGACGACGATGTCGGATGACGGATTTCACGTGGTTATGGTATTTTTGATTACCCGGAGGTGTGTTTAGAGAAATCTGTCGGAGAAGTGCCGCGACATTTTCAGTCTATATTCCGCATTGCGACGTAAATTCGTATATAGGATAACGACATTAGTTTTCGACGCTCTCTCCTTCATAGATTTTCGTTCGCCAGAATTTGTCTTGGAAGCAAAGATCCAAGGTATAACGATGTTAAAAATTTATCTATCCGGTAGGAGTGTGTCTTCTGCAGCCACTCGACTCGTCTTTACTTTATTTCTTCTCGCGTCAACGTACAATCGCGAACAAAGCGAAACATTTATTTCTATCAAAGTTTAACAATTCCACATTTTCTCGCGCCGTGTTATTTTCATTCTGACATTTCCATCGAAAGTTACAAAATAAATGCAAACGTCTGTTTCGACATAAGTGAAACATTTATTTCCACGCAAGTTTAACGATTC